TTGTTGTTTCGAATTTTTTAATGTCGACAGGGCGTCACACCGTTGAGTTTTCTAAACTCAACAACCGCAGGTGGGACCAGACCCCTGGTAGCCCAGAGGCGCATGGATTTTTTTATTTGCATTTTTTGAAAGAAATGCGGACGCGGCGGGTTTCGAGTTCGCAAAGTCAAAAAAAAATACGCGCCCCCAAAGATATCACAGCGCAAGTTTGAAACAGAAATTCTGGTTGAAAAGGAACCCTTGTGTTTTTTTTGTTTTTTTTTTCCCAGTCTGACACCACGGGCGACGGACGACCCCATTCTAGACGACCCTATTCTAGAATCGAAACCCCTTGGGCCTGGACCCACCACGGGCCACCAGCGAAGTAATTCTACAAGGTGTGACAGTGTTTTTGTATTTTTAAATGATTTTCAAGTGGCTCGAAAGTGAATGAAAAATAAGTAATAATTGCCGTTTTTTTTCTTTTTTTGGTTTAGTTTATCGTAACTGCCTCCCCCGTACTGCGAAGTGGACGCCACGGGATCTTTGGGTGCCGATCTTTGTCAGATTTTGCGGGTGGAAGGCAGTGAATCGTACTGGCCTCGCTCCTCCCCTTTTCAAATTTCCAAACAAGAGAATGTTTGATGTGAACACGGAAAGATGCACCAACAAGATTGTGCATGTCGAGATCAGTGGAACGAGGCCGTGTTCCCAAAAAAAAAAAAAAAAAAAAAGTGGAACGAGGGTTACGAGGCCCTATGTCGGTGCCCGCCACTTTTTTTTTTTTTTTTTTTTTTTTTTAAAGTACGGAAAGGTTGTAAACAGGAACGCCTCGAAGTCTCGAGCCCCCCCCCCCCTTCCAAAAGTTTGGAAATCCAGACGAATGTGAATGTCAAAATGAAAAAAAGTAATTGGCACACACGCAGTTGATTGGTTGGTACTTTCCGTTGGCCGGTACAACAAAGTGCGTCAGGCGGGGCCGTCGATGCAAAGTGCGATCTGTGGACCCCCTGTGTCACCCTCAGTTGTGCATATTAATAAAAAACGCCGTGAACGAAGTAGAATACTTTGCTAGTGGGTCCAGGCCCCTGGCTAATGGAACCGTGCCCCTGTTTTTTTTTTGTTTTTTTTTTTAATGGTTATAGGAGCTCCCATTCCTTTTTTTTTTTTTTTGAATCAACCTGATCGGATGGTAGGTGTGCTGATAAGAGCAGACACATCTAGCACCGTCAGGGAGGCTCCATCTATTTGTGGGGAGCAGCACCTGCTGGAAATCGGGTCCAGCATCCCCTTGGATGCATCTTTATAGCACAGTGTTTGTCGGGCATATGGCCATTAGAGTTGTTGTTCCCGAGCTTCCTTCTCTCCCTCGGGGCTGCCTATGTTACCCTTCCAATTTGCAAAGCTCTTACTTCCCACTGACCTAGCCCCACCCAGGATAGTGTCCACCGTGCTTTAATGTCTACGCACGTCCTGGCGGTAATGGCTCAACTCCTACCCTTGGTGTCTGCAACCCCCCTTATTCTAACCCCCCATTTTGTAAAACCCTTTGTACCTTTTTAAACCTTGTACCGACATCAAAATCCAGTGTTCTCCACAACAATGAGCCTTGATATTCAGCACCCTCCATTGTTCACAAATACAACATCTAATCATGGAGGATCTTTCAGACCCCTGAAACCTCTGCCTTTTCATAAGTTCTGCGTACCGCAATCTGATCCTTGGACCTGCGTCAACAGGGGAGCAATGCGCAATCTAATCCTTGCACCTTTGGTTTGATTGAACAGACCTCCTGGTCCATTGTTGTGTACCGCAATCTGATCCTTGGACCTGTGTCAAAAGGGGAGCAATGCGCAATCTAATCCTTGCACCTTTGGTTTGATTGAACAGACCTCCTGGTCCATTGTTGTGTATATGGTGTCAGCTGGACCACGGCTCTCCCAGCCCCTACTCTGGAAGACAGGCCGGCATCTCCATTAATAGCCAATCTGACAGATTAGCAGTGTACAGTTATAGTGGTGCACAGTTGTAG